GGATAATCTAAACCTTTATTCCTGAGAATTCTAAGTCTTAGGTGATCCTACTGTATACAATTAAAGTCATCTTTAAGCCATTTTTTCTTTATTGCTATACTTGGCAATACAAAGATCTTCCCCCAACCCCATTCTTGTCTCAGTTGATTCTGTCCATTCTCCTTTCTGCCTCTGCTGGGAACTAGCAACTCTATTTTTCTTCAGTGTCAGGATTAATCACCCCAGACAGCACCATAATCCCTCTTTTTAGTATATTCAACTCATGATGAAGAATCTAAAAAGACCAAATAGCTGTCTCAGCTTCCAACTCAAAAGAACCCTTGTTACAATGCCTGGTGGATGCATTCATCTCTTGCTTACTAAATCCTCTAAGCCAGAAGAGTCTGGAGTTAGCACAACTTCTAGGGCACACTGTGAGTTGTAAAGCATAGTGAAAAGCATCAAACTTTCTATCATTCCTTCTTCTCCAGACTCACATATTATCTATCTCTGAGAGAAATCTTTCCATATACTGCTCTCCTGAACAGGCATTCCAATCTCATAAGGAGATGTCCTGAATGAAACTGTAAGAGATCCTCTAATAAGCCATCCAATTATGGTGTAAGTAAGCTGCTTTGGGATGATAGTATATGTGATAAAACCAATTATGCAATGGCCAGCAGCATATTACCTGATTTCACTCACAAAATAACAATTTCATGGCCAGAGAAAGGTTGGACAAGATATTCTGATGAACTAAAAGTCATCTGTTGAGTCTATAATCAATGCCTGAAATAACAGGAATTAATGCTTCTAGAAGTGTAATAGACAGAAAAAACAAATCCAATCCATATCTTAAGGTGTTTTTCATTGGCACAAATACTTGATGTCCCACTAAAAAAAGTAATCACCCTGCCAAAAGTCTCACCCAGGCTCTAGCTCCCTAGCTCAGAGGGGACTAATTCTACTGGAAAAATTGAGTCCTCAGCAATAGTGATAACAAAATAATATAGAGAAGTATGTCCTTAGTATTTTTGTTCCTTTGGCTGATTGTAACAAATTGCCACAAACTCAGTAGCTCAAAACAACAAAAATTCATTCTCTCACAGTTTTGGGCACCAGAAGTCAGAAACAAGACATCAGTAGGACCTTGTTCCTTCTGAAGTCTAGGGAAATCTTCCTTGCTTCTTTCAGCTTCTCATGACCCCAGGTGCCCTTTGGCTTGTGACGACATAACTCCAATCTCTACCTCCATCTTCACATGGCCTGCTCTGTGTCTCTCTTCTCCCCCATTGCCTCTTTTTTAAAAAATTGCTACATAATAATTTTAAACATTTGGAGGTACATATGGTATTTTGATATATGCATATAATATGTAGTAACCAAATCAGGGTAATTGGATTATCCATCTCCTAAAACATTTATCATTTCTTCATATCGAGAACATCCCGAATCTTCTCTTTTAGATATTTTTAACTATAAAATAAATTATTGCTAACCATAGTCACCTGACAGTGCTAACACTAGAACATATTTTTTCCCGGTAACCCTAATTTTGTACCCATTAACTAACCTCTCTTCATCCCTCCTTCCCCTACACTTTCCAGCCTCTGGAAACCATCATTCTACCTCTACCTCCATGAGATCAACTTTTTTAGCTCCCACATATGAATGAGAACATGAATAATATTCCAGCCTGTATATATACCACTATTCATCAGTTGATGGACACTTAGGTTGCTTCCACATCTTGGTTATTGCTCTATCTCTTGTAAGTATCTTATAAGGATATTTTTCAATGGATTTAGTACCTACTCAGGAAATCCGGGTGACTTTTTCTCAAATTCCTTAACTTCATTAGTCCTGCAAAGATTCTTTTCCAAATAAGGTCATATTCATAGATTCTGGGGATTAGTATGTGGGCATATCATTTGGGGGCCATCATTCATCCCACCACAATGAGTTTCATCACTGTCACCATTGCTATATAATTCCTAAGATCATTATGCAAGCACAAGGAGAATGGGCAAGAAGGCTGACTGACATCTACAGAGTGGGTCACCATCTATCCTGAACCTTAAGAGACTCTTGACAAGCATTCAAATGGTACACTAATATTAATTTTCCCACTCTGAGAGCATTCAGAGTGGAAGAAGATATCCACTACCCTCTACCAAAATAGTCTTGCTACTTCTAAGTTTCTGACTATCTACTCAAACTATTAATTATTACCCACTGGTTTTTGTTATTACTTAACTCAATCTATGACTTCTTACAGGCAAATTAGACAACATGTTTACTTCCCTTTAGGACCAGCATTGAATTAAGGAGTACAGTCATGTAGCGTAAGTCCACCAAGGCTGGCCCCAGGAAATTAGGAAGAAGCATGTGTAAACCAAGAGCTATCTATCTACCTATCTATCCATTTATTGATTTATTTGGCATCTCGGGCTACTAACTGGTCACAGGAATCCCTCCATGAGGCCACTGGGGTGGAGAGACAGCAGCAGGGTAGCAGGAAAACCCCCAGGAAGATGAGAATCCTCCTTGCGCAATTTAACATGTGCATTCAATACTGGCTTGGAACCATTCCTCTGTGTGTGTGCGTGTGTGTGTGTGCACGTGTGTGTGTGTGCATATGTGTGTGTGTGCGCATGTGTATGTGTGCATTTCACTTGATGGAGTACTGCTGTGTATTCCTCACTTTATTTTTTGGTGAATGAGTTTACAACTGGTTCATAATGGGAAATTCAGATCATAATGTCAGGCATTTAGTCTCTACCATTTCAAGAGTTATTTCTCAAAGTAAGACTAGTTACTTGCTGGAGAGGTCATAACTTTCATTTTTAAAATGATATTAGAGGTCTTGACTGTGAATTTACTACTAGGGCTCCATAAAGCATCCCAATCTGCTACAGACTCTTCAAGCTTCATTGGATCTGCTGGATCATATGGGCTGCCAGGTAGAGTTGATTGCACTGCAACCTGGACTGATTGCCAGGAGCTCTGTTGATTTGAGTTAGTGAGAAGACAACATCTGGAACAACAGCTGCACTTGGAGGCATCACCTAATTAAGCTTACAATAATCCACACTCATTCTCCAAGACCCATCTGTCTTCCCCATCAGCCTAATTGGAGAGTTAAATGGAGCTGCGATAGAAATGACCACAACCTACTGTTTCAGTCATTGATGGTAGCGCTAATCTCTCAGATTCTATGGGAATATCCTACTGCGCTTGGTTTACTCTTTTGGTAAGGAAGGTGAGATCCAGGAGTTCCATCCTTGTTCTTTCCTTTCATAACAACTCTTATTCCTGAGTTAACAAGTAAATGTATTTAGCCAGTTGCCTAGAATGTCTTTTCCAAGAACACACAGGAAATGAAGGGAAAAAGAAGAGGATGTGTCTGTAGGTCCCCTATGCCTACAGTGAGATGTACTTGGGGCAAGACTCTATTTATCAAACGAATACCATACATTTCTACACTGACCATTGAACCACAGTGCCATTCTTCCACACCAGAAATGTGCAATTTGGGAGCCATTATCTGAAAACAACTGAAAGGTCTACTTACATTCTTTTCCTCAGAATATATTTACCAAAAAATGACCACAGGTCTAGAAACAGGGTAATGGCTCTGCCTTTCTTTTGGTAAGCTTTATTTTGAGACATGGAGATTTTACGCCAATTTATTAGGAACTTTATGAGTTGCCCATATATCTCTGATCTATAGACTCCATAATCAATAAGCCAGTGCTAAATAGCTATGTGTCTCTATTAGGGAAAGCACAAATACCTAGCCTCTGGAGGTTAAGTGTCTGACTTCTGCACCTGCCCTTCTCAATCTTAGGATCTTTCCAAACTCCATTGTAATCTGGCAGACTATTTCAATATTAGTGTCTCCCATCAATATCCCCATCTGACAAGAGAAGCCACAATCACATTTTTTATAGATACTGGTAGTTCCCTCATTGAAGTATTTCTCAAGGCCTTAGTAACAAGCTGGTCATCTGTGTCTACTTAAGCAACATAGTTAGGAAGTAGATGAGATTCATATTATAAATTCAGTCATTTTCTTTCTAGATATTATTGTAAATAATTTATGACATCTTAATTTTCTTTAGCATGACTAGTAATCTATACAGCTTCCTGTTAGCCAACCTAAGAATTAAAACTACCTTGCCCTATCAATGAATTCAGATAATGGCACTATACAAAAAAAACAGACTAACCCAAAACTATATTTCTTCTCTTTTTGGTTGAGCATGTTTGGAATTTAATAATAATAAGATACATTTTCCCGTAGGTATTTCATTATACAAATTGTTAAGTATATTTATTTTATATATTTATTTTATTGTATAAAGCTATTACAAAGTTTGACAACATAAATTATTAGTATGCTGAAATCCAATTTAGTTACCAATTTGAAATGAAAACGGGAAAAGAGGGTTTGGATCTGAAGAGAACTGGCTTAAGAATGGGAAGGACTGCCTCTTACCACAAAGACAAGGGTTTTTACCTGAGATATTGTGAACGCATCAACTGGCAAAGGAAGCTCAAAGAATTTGGGTTTTGTGGGTATTTCAAGTCCTTCAAATCCTCCCATATATCCTTATTTTAATATTCAGAATGTTACTCTGTCCCATTTAATATTTTAACTCTCACCAAAGAAGCTGAAGAGGGAATAAATAACGTATTCACTTGGCAATCCAAGACTAACCTTTTTATTTATTTTTTGGATACCTCATTTCTACCACTGTAAGAGTCCAAAGATTCTGCTAGCATCATCAGGTTAAATTCCCTGAGCTTAAGTTTGTGACCTGAGAATTTAACATTTGAGCTTGTCATTCTTTTTTTACCCAAGCCACCTAGTATGTCTAAAAGCAGGCCCCAACATGCCCAGTTAATTTTTTTCAGCTGTTATTCAACATCAGCAAATTGATACCCAAAACCTGCTCTTCAATTTTCACTGGATTCCAAGTGATGACAGAAAAGTTAACCATTTTGTCATTGCTTACCACAGTCTGTCATCCTTCGATCACTGACACAACTGCATTTTCACTGCTTTTAACTCCAGTTATGCCAAGTAAATCCCAGACTTGCTTCTTTTCCCTGGAACCAACTTTCATGCTAGTCAAGATTCTTGGTTGCCTAGAAAAAAAAAACAAAAACAAAAAAAACCTGGTTATAAAGCACAAAAAATAATTAAAGAATATTTATTGGATACTCCAAAATCAATAAAAGGCCTTAAGGACAAGATTTTTAAATGATCAAGAATACATGGAATATCATATTAGGTGAGTGTAGGGTCATATGACCAGACCTGAGGTGATGGGATAGACAGAGGGAACTTGTATTCATTCTTGACTCCCGTTAGCTTGCTCTGAATGAGAAGAGAGAATTAAATGCAGCACCTTAAAAGAAGTGTGGAGGAGGCTCTAAAGAGATAAATACTGGTACCATGTTATTGGATGAGAGTAACAGGTTGAGTGTCACACGTAAGTTGACAAATACTTTAAAAAGCAATGATCTCAACCCCAATTCCATATGCTCTTCTACTGGGACACATACTGATAGAAGTCAGAGTCTTTATCTTATGCTTCCTTTAAGCTCTTGTTGCATACAATAGCAACTCAAATGTGAATAAAACCTTTAATACTGTTTTCTTCAATTTCCCTGAATTTTTGATGGGCTTGAGCAAGTTAAGCTACCTAATTTTTCTCACAGCTACTATAAGTAAAAAGATGTCTACAAAGAGCAATACTTTATTTTTTACATACATAAGTTAGAAATGAAAAGCATTTTAGTTAGAAGTATAAAGAACTTACTTTAAATACCTTCTTTCTTTTATAAATGAAAATGTCCTTGTCTTTAATAATCTTCATCAATTTGATCATTCTTTTTTTTATGTCTTGGAGCTGTTAGAAAGTATTTAGCTCTAAGGCTCACATTTGGTATTTTTACTAAATTTTATTTTATTTTCAGCTGTATTTTCAACCTTTTAAAAATATTATGAATTATACACACTGACTAAGAACCAGGTAAAAAAAATATGAATGCATATTTGTCAATAACATTTTGGACTCTGTGATATATAGATACTATTATTCTGAGAGGTTGCCTTCCAGGGATGCTGAGTCGGGATCATGCAAGTCTTCTATGGAAACATAGTTGACCCTCTGCATCTGTGGGTTCCACATTCAGGGGCTGAACCAACTGTGGATCAAAAAAACACTCAAGAAAAAACTGTGTTTGTACTGGACATGTTATAGTCTTTTTTTTTTTTTCTTGTAGTTGCTCCCTAAACAATACAGCACAACAGCTGTTTACACAGCATTTACATTGCATTAGGTATTACTAGTAATCTATGGCTGATTTAAAGTATACAGGAGGATGGGCATAGATTATATCCAAGTACCATTCCATTTTATATTAGGGACTTGAGCCTCCTCAGACTTTGGTATCCAGAGAAGGTCCTTGAACTAATTGCTCATGGATACTGGGGGGCAGCTATTCTTTCTTAGCCTTTAAAATTGACAATTGCTCTTGTGCTTTCTTCAAATCTCATGAAGTTATGCTGTCTCAGGCCATAGGTTCTTCCAGCCATAATTCACAAAACACTGATTCAACCTCCTACAGCTACAGTTATGTGTGGTGCCTTTCACTATGTTGAAGATCAACAATACCTCTAATTGTCTCTCATTTGTTCAATTCTACTTGGCCATTTCTCTGAAAATACCTCAAGTCAATACTAAACATGCATTTTACCATCAAACATGATACTCTACTTGTGTTTTCTTGCAAGCTGATTATTTACACACCTTCTGTAAGCCGCAATCATTCAAAATTGTAGACCAGACCACAAAACACATAGCAAAAAGAGAGGCCCCCATCAGCCACACACACTGCAGAGCACACTCACCTTGGGACAGCACAGTACAGTGCTCTCCAAAGGTGAGAATTTGCAGCATGGTGGGTTCTTGCTCAGGGGTTGAGCATGTTCATGTGGTCATGAAACCCTGGCTGGCTAAGAGCATACAAGAACATTTGGCAAGTACCGTGTTTACTAGTGTACTACTTCACACATGTTTCTGTCTGCATGTGCACATTTTTCAGAAAGGTAGTTCAGAGACAAATGACTGCATAGCAAATCAATGCTACACAAAGAAACATAAAATCAGGAACACGTAGTTTCTGTATCCTTATTAATATTTTTATATACATAATTTTTAATTGTCTGTAGAAAATGTTAAAAGACACTAAAATCCAAATCACATACATCTGTTGTATATGTGTTTACTTACAGTCTTTATTTGTTGTTCAAAGATGGACTATATATAACCTCTAACTTTATCACAAACTTTTTTTTTTTTTTTGAGACGGAGTTTCACTCTTGTTACCCA